TTACAAGGGAAAGGATGTTTTTCTACTAGGCTTTTTTCTTTTCCCTTATTCTTATTCAGCACACTTGACATTTTACAAAGGCTAAACACTTTGGAAAGCTTAACAGAGAAAAAGCTTTCCATCCAAAAGTGAGCTAATTGTATACAAACAGCCCAGATATTCCTATTATCAACAAAAGTGCCTAGGCTCTGCCTGACCCTGAATTTCAAGTCATGGGGTGTTGACTTCAGCAACTCAGCAATGCCATCTAATAATTGTGACCTAAAATCTATTTGTGTTAAGCAGGAAGGCTTGCCTACGGGAAAATGTATTCTCAACTGGGAAAAAATAGATAATTTATACCTTTAACAACATAATTTGCTCTGACAGTTTTAGAAGGAGGTCATAAAAGCCACATAAGATAATAACCTAACAAATTCTGTGGAATTCACGATAAGCAGTTGTTGCTATAAATATAATCATGTTTCTAAGTCTTTACTTATTGTGTCATTTAAAAGTTAATAAACAAACACACAAAACCAATTACACAGATTTTTATTCCTGTAATGTATCTATTAAGGACAAAGAAAGTTATATGGATCCATTATAACCAAAATACATGTGTGTAACTATGGGGCCATGTTAATAAAAGCATTTCATATCCACCATTTGACCTATCTGACATTTTCCAAAATATTTTACACAGTATGCTGAGACTAAAGTAAGTATCATATATGTCAGTATGGAACTATAAGATGAAAAGAGCAACTCAGCAGAACAAACCAGTTTTTAAAAAAAGAGGTTACCATCCTATACATAAAGACAATTAACTACATTCCTAATAACCTGCCCTGACTTCTATCAGGCAATTCAGTTAAGTCCTTAATTGTTGAATAATTTTTTACTAACTAAACAAGGAATACCATCTTCCAATCTCAGTTTCATTAAGGAGATTATAGTTTTATGCAATATTGTTAAATATTTAAAATATTAAATAGTGAAAAGTTTGGGGTAGCCAAAATTAAAGCCAAACTTTATGAACAATAATACAATAACCAACCCTCTCTTATTTAACAAAAAACCCCAGCATTTTCTCTTTTAAACAGTAAAGAATCCAATGTGAATTTTTTAAAAAGAGCTGAAAATGTCACTAATGTCTTAAAATCAAAAATAATAGTATGACATCAAAAAAAAAAAAAAGATGGATAGTTCAGTGATTAAGAGGATAGACTCTGAAGCCCGGCTGCCTGGGCTAATTCCACATCTGCTATATGTTAGCCGGAGGAACTTGGAAAACTTAAGTCCTCACTGTATACGGAGGTAGAATACCACCACCTCACTCACAGGGCTGTGCTAAGCATTTTACACACATCAACTCATTTAATCCTCTGAATAACCCTATGGGATTGGTACTTCTATCATGCTCACTTTCTAGATAAGCTAAATGACACCTGGGAGGCTACCTAACTTGTCCAAAATGGTGAAGGGTGGCAGACAGATCACCCCAAAATATGCCACTTTGGCATAAGGGTAATTTTGAATGAAAAGCACTTGAAAAGCAGAAGTGCGAGAAGGACACTCTGACCTCCCCTTTTCTTCCTGAAAGCAGGAGATAAAACCCTCACGTCGAAGATGCCAGGAGGAAAGAAACACTCTTATCACCAGACATGGAGAGTTGAGACCAACAGAGCTCTATACAAACAGACCTGATTATAATAACTTTTATCTTCCTCTAGTCTCCCCACATAGTTTAGTTACTTTTCCACAATTGCCTCTTTGTTCAACCTAGTATATGACCACTTAGATTTTGCCACTTCTTTGGGTCTTCATTTTTCTGTGGGGACTCCCACATACATGTAAAAATCTGTATGCTTTTCTCCTTAATCTGTCCTCTGTCTACTTAATTCTCAGGCCCAGCCAGAGACCCTAAAAGGCGAGAGGTCAAGTTTTGCCTCCCCTATAATTGAAATTCTAGTAAGCTGTGGAGCCTCGATACAAACCCAAGGGGTCTGGCTGGATTCAGCATTCTTATCTGCACTTCACTGTAGTGCCTCTGAGGTGCTCCTGAGACAGAACGGAGATGGTGTGATGACAGAAAGAGAAAGAAGACAGAGGAAGTGGGAGCCAAGACGTGATGCTGACTGACCTCATCCAAACTTCAGGACAGCAACTAAGGCCACACAACAGCAGACATGCAAGGATTTTTCATGGAAAATGATGAAGCAGTGGAGCTTTGCACCTGGGGGGGGGGATGGGCTAAACAGAGACAAGCATCAGCAGACACGGCAGCTGACGGACGAGCAGGCCTCAGCCGATGTTTCGGGCACGTTTCTTGCTTGGATCATCTGAACAAGGATAAGCGACAGCTGCACTTCAAATTAAATGCTATCCTGGAACTACGACGGAAGTGATTCCTCACCACGACTGCTCAACTGCTAGATATATGGTGCAGGGGACAAGACCACTCCTGCTCAGTCCTAGATGGTCCTGGGAAAACTCCCTCAAAACACAGCATGTCAGGAAAATGCATCATTAGAGCTTAAATGTATCAGATGGAGCAGCTGGTACATGAGCACAAATCGGAGTAATGTGCCAGAAATTCCCTCATGAATTAGCAAATTTGGAGGTTTCTGTGTCTTCTAATGCTCAGGTAAAGACCACTTCTTTTTTTTTTAAGGATTGGCACCTGGGCTAACAACTGTTGCCAACCTTTTTTTTTTTTTCTGCTTTATCTCCCCAAACCCTGCCCTGTACACAGTTGTATATTCCAGTTGCAGGTCCTTCTAGTTGTGGGATGTGGGAGGCCGCCTCAACGTGGCCTGATGAGCAGTGCCATGTCCGCGCCCAGGATCCGAACCCTGGGCCGCCACAGCGGAGCACATGAACTTAACCACTCAGCCACGGAGCCGGCCCCCTAAAGACCACTTCTTACATTCAAGTCTTTCCTAGAAGAGGGAAGGTCCACGGCAGATAAGCTGCGCCTGCTGAGGCAGACTACCCTGGAAAGCGGCCCCCCCTGGGCTGACTATAAGACAGGCAGTGAAACATCCACAGGCTACAAGCTACCAGACACTGGAGGAGGTTGTGGAAAGAGGAGCACCACTGGCTGTTTCAGCTGTAGTTAAAACTTGCCTCTGAAATGCTGCAAAGTGGCAGGCCACAGAGCTCCAAAGGTGAAGATGATATACACAGTCTTTGAGGTCCAGCATCAGAAGTTGTATGTGCTCTCAAAGATGTCAGCGCACTAAACTCATATCCTTTAAATGGCTATTTGATAACAAAAAGAATAATCGTCATTTCTAATCATGAAACAACAAAAAAGAGCAGAGTCCTCTGCATATGTGTTAAGACTACAGAGGTGTTCCAAAATAAGGAATAGAGAAGAGTTTGGAAAACTAGGCTTTGTGGAAGCAAATTTCTGAGAGAAGAATTTATTTTGAAACTCCTAAAGAAGCAGAAACTTCACAGGAGATCAGACGCACTCCTGAAGTCTTTCTGTTAGTGAGGCTCATTCAGGAGCTAAGAGGGAAGCAACACTGGCAGCTTTCAAGGAACAGAACTTGGGGCTGACACAGCCAGTTCTGACTTGGAAGTCAAGGCACAAATTCCTGATGTGCTAAGAAGGGCCAGGTAAGCAGTTGTGTCCATGGCACCCCACTTTATCCCAGTCAGAGGGTCCTCAGAAAAACCACCGGCCCTGGTCAGACTATGCCCCCCATTTTGCCGCAGGTACAGGGGATCTGGTCATAGAGAAAACAACTCCGACCACCCTAATTACTGCTTCTGTCCCCAGCCCTTAGGAAGCAGATTCAGAAAAATACACATGCCTACCAGAAGTTGAATGGAAAAGATAGGATATTCTATGGTAACATTTAGCCACGAGAAAAATTCTATTCTGGTCTCCCAGAGACAAAGGCCAAGAAATGGAAGAGGACAAGGGGTTAAAACCCTTGTGTTCTTTCTGCGAGAGACCAGATCCTAAAGAGAAGGGCTGAAGAAGCAGAGACGCACACACCATACTTCTGAATGTGTGGGGTCAGAGGCATCTTGTGAGTCCTGGCTCTGATAGGGCCTAAACTAAAAATTAGGACCACCCTTAAATCCAAGGAGCCATTCTCCACTTCTCAAGACATACAGAGCATTTGCTGATGCTAGAGGCCCCCAGTCTGACTGGGCCAAGATAAAGACAGTAAGAGGCAGAAAACCAGAATCTGGTGAAGGAGACACCTGAGAACATCCCAGGGAGCAAAGACCCTATGAATTCATGCAAATCCTGTCAAAGGAGCCCGAATTTGGCAGGAGGAAGCTCAGAGTGGAAGAGGATACACGCTACCAGGGGACATTGGGTTTTGGCCTCTTCACCACCCTCTGGGGAGAGAACTTCTGGGAAGAACTATACAAAGACTGAAAATCTCTTCCTCAGGGGAAAGACACAATGACATGAAGGAAATGTTATTTTTTTCAGAATTCCCCTTGGGAAGAGCATAGTATTTGGTTGAAAGAAATATTTTTTAAAGCCACTAAAATCTTAATAATTAGCAGGTATTAAATTTATAACAGAAAATAAACTAGTCTTAAACATTTAGGAGACCCTATTTAACATATTCAGATTTAAGTGTAGTACACTCAGCAAATATTTATTGGACACCTTATTTAATTTCAGATGCTAATTTTAGAAGCAAGGCTTAGTGCTATTTATAAAACAAAACTTGAATTTATCAAGGATTCTTCAAGACTTTTGGTTTTTCACAATTAAAAAGGTTGACTAGTGTATCAGATAGGAAAAACAGGATGATTTTACAAACGGAATTTGAACAACACAGCCAAACTGATATATAAGAAGCATCTGACTCGATGACAATATTCTAAGTGACTGATGACCTTTATTTTTATGGATTTCATATGCATGAATTAATTCTGGAATTAGTAGGAAATAATCTAAAATCAATCATAATTTGAAAGTAACCTTTTAAAGGAAAAATAATTCATGTAATTCTGATTTTGTTTCTTAAAAGACTCACCTAGAAGGATAAATCCATCTGTCTCTGTCTCAGGCACCGGTGACTTTTTGGATTCCGGAGGCTTTCTGAAGAAGTGAAACATTGCGGCTGCTGCAGCTCCTGCTATCTGAAATAGAAGCACTATATAATGTCACATTCAGATGAAATTGTACAACTCGTGCCCTTTTTAGAAAAAAAAGCCATACATAGAGACATTACAATAATTACTTTTAGTAATTCTATTCTCAGACTTAAAAGCACGAGCCCTCTCTAGGTGTCAGAAGACAAAGCCAAAAACTAAGGTGCATGGACGTCCAGTTAAAATCATGTGTCTTGAATCATGCAACCTCTCTCAATTTCTGAACACGCAGGAAATAACCCAAGATATCACTACCTGTAAAAGTAACATCAACAGGTCACACCAGAATCTGGAAGGACCTCACTAACCATAAATCGGACACTGGATTGAGGAAAGGAAAAAAAACCAGTTCAGGTTTCTAGTCATGCCATAACTAGCTTAAGCCTCATAAAACTGAGGCCACCTGAAAAAAGAAAAGGCGTGTGAAACATACTCTACTGTTGGTGACCTGATTCAGACACTCAAGGGCTGTACCCACTGTAAAATGGCAGCCCACTTTAAGTTCCCATCAGTGTAGATCTTTGTGTTGGTGAGATTATCGTGTGCTGCCCCCAACACACATACACACACCCCTCTCTCCTCCTCCTCCTCTCCCATCTTTGTATATTCAGGCAGGGCAACAACTCCTAGAAAACAACTGGGAAGGCAGTTGAAAGGAATTGGAAGGAGACTCACATCCTGAGGTCAATTCTATAAACAAAGCAATGTAAGAGACAGCAAAGAAAGAAAAACTCCTGGTGGCAGCAAGTGCTCCACATTTTAGTTTTCATGTATTCCACTCATACCAGAAAATCAAGCAGAGAGAGGAAGATTTAATCTGAGTGAAAGCCTTCTAGAAACTGAGAACTGTACGGGGATTTCCGTAGGTCAACCTGCCCTGCGCTGTAGATCCGAGAAGGGTATTAACCTCTACATGAGTGGATGGTAAAGGAAGCGTAGTTGTTGATAGAAAACATTTCTGGCAGATTTCACTTTTTAAAGCGAAACAAACAATGGAGAAGAAAAACACAAGCCATGTGAAAAAGAAAAGATTCCAGGAAAGCAAAAGAACAGCCTCTGAAATCCTCAAAGAGCTTACTGGATATGGTGATGGAGACAAAAGAAAAGTCTGGAAATAGTTTGCACCCTGAATAGCGTACAAGGAGACACGGCCTCTACAAAACCGGTGAAAAGCAAGATTAGATGAAAAAGCAAAAGGAAAAGATAAGGAGACAAGGAATGAGATGAAAAAAAAACTGAGTGAGATACAGAGAAATCCATGCAAGAAAGAAATGATATTAGAAAATAATGGGTTGATTTGCAAGCAAGAATGTAAGAAAACAGAGTTCAAGTTCAAAGACTTAAAAGATTGGAAGGAGGCAACCACTTCTCAACCTCAGACAGTTAAAAATAAAACAGAGAAGGCCTCTGAAGGAACAGTGGCTGATTAAAATTCACCCCCGGGCAAGGATCAAATCAAAGGAAAAGCCATCACACCTGATATTAAAACCTCAGTGTGGATTAATGTGGCACTCAGTACATTCTTTCACTTGGGATAAAATGGTTCAGGAAAAAGAGACGAAGACAGTAGGTCTCCAAATGAAGCCTGGTAGAGAAGACACCCTCAAACAAATAAAGAGGAAGGGAGCACACATAGGGGTGAAAAAAGATGAGAAACAGAGCAAATCTAAAAGTTATATCTAGCAAAAACCGTAGGTCTGGCTATTGATACATGAAGCTGACTGGAATCAGGTAAGAAGTCAACAAAATTTTTGAGAGTTGTAGTCCCAAAAAACTACCAGTCTGGATTAAAAGAGGACTATGACTGCTGGATATTTAAGACAACTCTGCAAATAGGAAGCTGCCCAGGAAAACTGCTCAGCCCCCAAGGAAGGCCTATTCTCCAGTGCCCACTTCAGTGGTAGCCAAGGAAGTTACTGGAAAAGGAAGAAACTCCAAGAGAGTAGAGCCAATGGACACGGAGAAGAACAGACTGGGGGGCCTCTCCTAGGAAGCAGAATCTGAGCACAATTAAGGAACATTCTGCAACCCAAGGTGGGAGTTCGCCAAAATGCCTGCTCCCTGGAATTTCAGAATTGCTACAACTCTGTGACTGCTGTATATCTCCCATTCCTCACCTTTCTGAATGGGAGTGGTTTTGGCAGTTATGTTTCCCAGTTGCACCAGGGTGCGAGGGGACAGGGCGGATTACTGATCTTTCTAGTTCAGGAAGTCTCCAAACCAAGAGGTGCCACATCTGGACCTGATGAAGAGACTCTTGTACATTACAGAGAGGCACCGAACTGTGAGTGTGACGCTGACTGAACGGGGGAATTCGGATTGCTGCCCTTGGGAAGGGATGAGTTATTCTGCCTATGGCAGGGAGAGAGAGCGAGTATATGGTGACCACAAATGAGAACCACGGAATCATGACGGCTGTTCACTGGCTCTCTGCCTTACGGAGACATAACAGGATGCAGTTTTCCACCCTCCTCGGAAGTAGGTATGGCCGTGTGACTTGCTTAGTTCACTGTGTCACATGCCATTAGAGTGCTGTAACCAGAAGCTTTATGGACACTGAGCAAGAGAGGCCCTTTAAAAAGCGGTTCTTGTTTTAACACATAAAGACAAGCCTTTTAATAGCAGTACTCAAATTTCCAATACCTTTTCATGACTGGCCACGAAACAGAAATGGAGCAAACATGGAAGTCACAAAAGTGGTTCTGATAAGTCATTCTCAAGCCCCCAAAGTTCAGAAATGTCATTACAAAAGCCAGACCAAACTCAGGTGCAGTGAGAGAATCTCTTTTTAATTCAAGTATTTTGTACAGAATTTATAACTTAAGTAATTAAGCAAAGTATTTAAGTTTCTCATAGCCTAAAATGTAGAATTTAAACTACATACAGGCTGTATCAGTGTGCTGATAGTATGGCTCACTGGCAATGCATAATATTATAGTCTGTCACTTCAGAACATTATAAAATTGCTAACATATTAGAGAAGGAGGGACAACTTAGGTTGAAAGAGTCAAGAAACTTCCAGGCACAGAAGAAACAGGTCAGAAATAAGAGAAAGGGAGCAGAGATGGTACAAAAGAACTCAGAATGACAGTAAAAAATAGTTTACTACAAATATCCATCCAAAACAGCTCTAAACTTGTTACAAAAGTACCAGTCACCCTCACACCTATCACTCCACCTTAACTCCTTCCTCAAGATGTTTTTCTGGGGGAACAAGATTCCAATTTTACACTACAAGTCTTGGGATTCCCTTGTATAACCAATACTAACTGCTGACATTAATAATTCATTCCACTTAATCATTCATTAAAGTCGGTCTAAACATCTACCTTTAGAGTAATCACTCCAAGCACAAAAAGACTATGTCCTGAGACTCTAAAATCTATCATCAAATTATCTTTATGCCGTGATTTTTTTTTTCAAATCACTGAAAAGCACATAGAGTGGTGTAAAAACTTCTCTCGATAGGGCTGGCAAATACCATTCTAAGATCTCCCCTCTTTGAGTGACTCCCACAGTTGGAAAGCTGCATGGTTGGTCATCACCCCAGCAGCCAGATTTGGTTACCCAGATTTGGTTACCCTAGTACTGGAAAGGAGAAGGGGAGTAACCAAACCCCACTAACATTTGCTGAGCTCCTGCAGTGGGTCAGGCACTATACCAAAATGCCGTATATACTCTATCTCTTAGAAACTTACAGTCACCCCACTAGGTACGCGTGATTATTCACAATGTGTAAGTGAAAGAACTGAAGTAAAGTAGGTTAAGTACTGGTCCAAGTCTATGTGGCTAGTAAGCAGCAGACCTAGAATTTTAAACTAAGTCCTCTTGGCACCAAAACGGAATGCTTTTCATCAACAAAGCACCAGAGACAAGGAGCCCTTAACACTTACGACATTTGTGTTGGACTTTAATATACTATTTCTCAATATTAGTCAAATACATTTGACTAATTCCACTTCTGTCTTTGTCAATCCCTACTTTTCCAAGCCTTGCTCAGTGCTATGTTCTAAAGACATTTACTAATCCCATAACATCTATGTTCAAGACCTTCACTTACTTTAGATTTATATTTCATAAACACTTACTACGTGTTTAGGCCACATACTGACCAAGCACTGCAAAGGCAGCTCTCAGTTTACATTTAGGGGGAACAAACTGCAATCTCAGCCTACCCGATTTCTGAAGCAACGCTTAGCAAAACTAAGAGTAATTTAAGAGCCCCATCCCATAGAGGAGGCCTGCTGCCCTAAGCCTAGCATACAGGAAGGCCCAAGCACTCATCCTTCTGATGCACACGGCCTTGACAGTTGGCTGAATCTTCTGTTTAGAGTTCTCAAGCATGTTCCAGTCTCATTTCCTTATTTACAATTTTCAGTATTTTAAAAATTATCTATAATGAGGAAATTTTACATTTATAAATAGGAAAAATACAAAAATTTATTCTTAAAAATCCATTAGCTAGCAATAACACTCCTGCCTGGCTGAGCTGGAACCCAACCCAGAATGCCTCTGAATTCTCAGACAGGGGAATCCTGGAGCTGCCTCGATATACATGGGGGATGAAGAATTCACCTGCCCATGCCACAGGCTAGGAGAAAATTCTTGCAAATCACGGGTATCTAGAAAATATAAAGAACTCTTGAAACTCAATAATGAGAAAACAACTCAATAAAAACTGGGTAAGAGATATGAAGAGACATTTCACCAAAGAAGATGTGCAGATGGCAAACAATCACATGAAAAGATGTTCCAAATCATTAGTCAACAGGCAAATGTAAATTAAAATCTCAATGAGATACCACTACATAACTACTAAAATGTTTAAAATTTAAAAGGTTTGCCACGCCAAGTGTTGGCAAAGATGTGGAGTAACTGGAACTCTTGCACACTGTGGTCGGTGTGTAATATAGTACAACCACTCTGGATAACAGTTTGGCAGTTTCTTTAAAACATAAACATATACGTACCATACGACCCAGACCTTC